CACCAGTTAACACCTACAAGATGTAACACCCACACCAGTTAACACCCACAAGATGTAACACCCACACCAGTTAACACCCACAAGATGTAACACCCACACCAGTTAACACCCACAAGATGTAACACCCACACCAGTTAAAACCCACAAGATGTAACACCCACACCAGTTAACACCTACAAGATGTAATACCCACACCAGTTAACACCCACAAGATGTAACAGCCTCAAAAGTTAACACCTACAAGATGTAACACCCTCACCAGTTAACACCTACAAGATGTAACACCCACACCAGTTAACACCTCCACAAGATGTAACACCTGGGCACCAGTTAACACCCAGGATGTAACTTACACAAGCACACCCACAAGATAACACCCACACCAGTTAACACCCACAAGATGTAACACCCACACCAGTTAACACCTGCAAGATGTAACACCCACACCAGTTAACACCCACAAAATGTAACACCTACACCAGTTAACACCTACAAGATGTAACACCCACACCAGTTAACACCCACAAAATGTAACTCCTACTCCAGTTAACACCCACAAGATGTAACACCTACACCAGTTAACAACCACAAGATTTAACACCTACACCAGTTAACACCTACAAGATGTTACACCCACACCAGTTAACACCCACAAAATGTAACACCTAATCCAGTTAACACCCACAAGATGTAACACCTACACCAGTTAACACCCACAAGATTTAACACCTACACCAGTTAACACCTACAAGATGTTACACCCACACCAGTTAACACCTACAAGATGTAACACCCACACCAGTTAGCACCCACAAGATGTAACACCTATACCAGTTAACACCTACAAGATGTAACACCCACACCAGTTAACACCTACAAGATGTAGCACCCACACCAGTTAACACCCACAAGATGTAACACCTATACCAGTTAACACCTACAAGATGTAACACCCACACCAGTTAACACCCACAAGGTACTACATACTTGACCACCGAAGGGTCAAGACGTACCTGGCCACTCCTCTTGGAGTAGCCAGGTCAACTGTTAAGTTGGCCCATACCAACTTCCTCCCCTGAACCCTCCTCCCCACCGGAATATCAACAAGTTCTCGCCAGAAGTTACTATTTCATTTAGGAAAGGAATGGAACCAGTGTTAAACAGAGGTGAACAGTGGTGAACAGTGCTTAAGTCAGTGAGAACAACTCAACAGTAACAGTGGTACCCAAGTTAACCTTCACACAGTGAGGTCCCAGGTACCCAGTGATAATGGCCCGTGAGACCCAACAACCAGCGATGTGTTATTCCGTCTACGATAGGAAGGCCTGGGACCACACCTCACTCATATAACACCATCTGTGAGGGAATTACTACACCACGTCAGGTCCCTCATAACACCATCTGTGAGGGAATTACTATACCACGTCAGGTCCCTCATAACACCATCTGGGAGGGAGTTATTACACTACGTGTTTGCTGTTCAACACCTACAATAATCTGTATGTTCACTGTATGTTCCTTTACCTTTCTCTAATGAAGGCTTTTGTTAAACCACCAATGTATGTCATAAGTCATTTATGTCCAATGTATATTTTCAGCCATCGGGCTGCAGAATTTTTTTCAATAAACCGTTAATTATTATTATTATTATTGTTATACACCCACAGTATTGAACTCCCAATTTTTTCCAGGTAGTCCCACGGAGACATACTTCTTTGGTACTCAGATGGCCATGATTCTGCTGGGCGCTATTCCGGGCTGTTTCTTCGTCAGCATAGTCATAATCCCGATTTTGTACAACCTGAGAATCGTCTCTATTAACGAGGTCAGTAGATGGGTCACCCTAACAAATATTCTTAATTTGTTTACATATTACAGTTGTGTTGCCCAGGTTTAATTTTAACAAGGTAAAGTTAACATAAACATACCAAATACCAGTAGGGCTGACCCCAGATTACACCGTCACTAACATAAACATACCAAATACCAGTAGGGCTGACCCCAGATTATACCGTCACTTACATAAACATACCAAATTTTAACTCTTGTGTTAAAAGGGATGAGGAAAAAACATACTCACAAACGCATCATCAAAGATGGTGGGCCGACAGAGGCTGGCCCACCATCCCCCAACTCTGCTGTATACATGAGCGGATCAAATTTTGGATCTTTATCTTAAAAAAAAAAAAAATCTGTGGCAGCTGACATCAAACAAATATGAAAATATATGTGGCTGAGGGGGGGGGGGTGGCACTGGGGACAGTCCCCAAGAATTTTACCTTATTAGCGCTACAGAACGACACGTGATGTAGTTTAGTGGTTCTTAAATGTTCATTCAATAAATGTTCCTAATAACTGAAGATATTATAATGTACCTAACTGGTTGACTTAAGCTCAAACATGAGAATAATGCCCAAATTAATTTGCTTGGTATTAAAGAAGTGTGTCTGAGTGTGAACCAGGAGATGGCGGTGTTCATGGTGGGATTCCTCTGTGATAGCTCTTTTGTTTCTCTGCCTTTCCATCTCTTCAGGGGCTTTAACGTCTGGTAGGTCTAGACGGTATTGACGGTGAGAGAACTGTTATTGTGCTATGTGGACACCCAGTATTCTTTTCCTGCCTCTGCCTATCACAATTTTTGACATTCAGGATACGCTAGGCCTCGCCATTTCCTCTAGTATGTCATGGAAGCCACACATCCTCAGCACTTCTAAAGCCGCCTCCCGAAAGCTGGGAATGCTGTACAGATGCCGTAGTTACTTCATTCCTGAGCAATTGCTTCAAGTATATAAGGGATTCATTCGTCCTAACTTGGAGTACTGCTCTCATATCTGGGGTGGCTCTTCTTCTGTCCAACTGTTAGATAGGGTGGAATCAAAGGCATTTCGTCTTATTAACTCTCCTCCTATAGTTGATAATCTCTCTTCCCTTTCTCTTCGCCACAATGTTGATTCACTCGCTCTCTTTTACAGGTTCTTTAACGGGCACTGTTCGGTAGATTTGACATCCTGTGTACCGCCGGCAAGGCCGTGGGCTCATAACACACGTCTTGCCCGCGGTGCCCACCGTTTCCCTGTGGATGTCGGTCACACGAGAATAACGCGTTATAGTACCTCCTTCTTTCCTCACACATCCAAACTGTGGAATGCTCTGCCTTCTTCTGTGTTCCCATACTCATATAATGTGTCTCACTTTAAAAAGCTGTTTTTGCGGCGTCTTCGTGGTGTAGATTAATATAATATTGTGTTTTTATATTTTTTATTTATTTTTACTCTTATTTATTCGACCTGTGCCCAGGTGGGCTAATTCCCGTAAAAAAAAAAAGACCTCAGAACTAACTTACCCTCAGCACTGTTGTTACAAAACTGCTGGGGAGATTATATTTTGTTGGACTTTTTATACGCGCTCATTTTAGTTGATGAATACAGAAAAAAAACTGAAATAATTCTGTAGCGTTCATCAAAGATTTCTGCAGTAGTGGAATAAACATTCTTTGAAGTATATTTAGACAAAATGTGGTAAAATAGGAGGGCGTCGACTCAGGGAAATGTTTATATACATTCTGAGAAATGTTTGTGTGTCATTTTCTGAACGATTCGAGTAGAGTAATTTTCTCTTAATGTACATTATCAGCTTATCCACCCCAAGTGTACAAATTACATGGATGAAAAATAGAGTATAAGTCCCACAAATATATGAGCTGACTCTCTGCATACGGCTTCCTTGTACCCATAATTTAAAATACCACTTGCAACAATTACAATAATAATAATAATAATAATAATAATAATAATAATAATAATATTAATAATAATAATAATAATAATAATAATAATAACATGAATACAGGAGTGGCTGCTCTAAAGATCAAATAAAAATCCTTGTGGGGATTAGAGAGGGAAGGAGGAAGGTGCTTGCTTGCTTGCATTCAGTTTGGAGCCTGTGAGGGCACAAATAGACTACTGACACTATATATTTCTTACAGTATATAGAGCTGAGGTTTGAGTCACGACTGCTAAGGACGCTGGCAACTCTGTGTACTCTTCTCTCTTCTTTCATTTACATGGGCATCTGCCTCTATGCTCCAACATTAGCTCTGTCTACAGTCACGGGCCTCGCTACCTGGGTATCCACACTTATCATGGGGACAATATGTACCTTCTACATCACAATTGTAAGTATGGTGTGCACCAAATACAGAGACCTGTAGTAATAATTTATAAATATATAGTTAATAAATGAATCTCGAGATTATACTATATAAACCTTTTATAGTACAAAATAATCATAGCAAATTTATCATGCTCTTAATATCAAAAAGCTTTTATGGAAACATTTTACCAGAAATATCCTCATGGCTTCTCTTTTAGCCTCATTGTGGAATAGAATCAATATGTTTACTATTCAAAGGATCAATTTAGGAGTGTCAAGGTGGAGCAATAGAGGTATAACTTGTTTATTGCAGTTTCGATTTATCACAATTCAATTTATCACTACGTGTTTCGTTCTTTTTTTCACAATACCTTCATGAAACAAAAATAATACTGCACACATGAGTTGCTTCCAGTAGAGCAGAAATTAACGAGAATCTTTTATATTTGCAGACAAGTTTCAATACACTGCATATTCCTCAGTTATGGAGCTTGGTACTTAGCCGATTGTATTGATCTATGCGTGCATGTAGTGAGAGTTGTTTAAGTATGTATGTGTGTGATTATTTCTGTAGATTTCACCCAAAATCTTATAAAATGAGTCCAAAAAGATCAAAGCTGAAAAAATGAGACATCAGACATTATCTAAGGACGAGAGTGTGGTAGAGAGTTGAAAATGGCCATGACAGGCAGAATTATGTTCTCACAGTTCAGTAGTATCTAATATTATGCTTAATGCATATTTTTTCTATGTATTGTACAAAGAATCAGTCAAGGTACCTTCAAAGTTCCTTGCAAGGGAAAATCTCCCTCAATATATACCGTAAACAAATGGTAATCATTGACTTTTGTATAATATTACACTTTTTTATGTAAACTTGTAGGTTGAGCAGGATGAAATATTCTGGAGTATTATCACCTATTTGTTTTGTGCAAACAATCCTTAAAAAAATTCTTTAGTAACTTGGCTACTTTTCTACCACTGATGACATCACAGTCGTAACTCGAGCATGGACGTCAGTGTAGCTGCAGGTGTGCTGGTTCTTGGGTGTTTATAAGAAACTGTGTTAACAATGACAAAGTGATCATATAGATATCTGTCTTTTATGGGAGGATATTTAAACCACATTAGCTCTTGGAAATTTTTTTAGAAATAGTGCTACATATTTATACACTGGTACACAGTGAAAATATTTTCTGAACTCCTGGGTCTGAAGGCCGTCGCAATGATCATTGAAGGAAGCCATGTTCATTTGGTAAGGTTGGTAGGAAGAGGTGGTAAACACTGTTAGTATTATAACTTTTTCCCTCAGGGTGGTGTAAAGGCTGTGGTGTACACAGACGTGTTGCAAACGTTGCTCATGTTTGGCGGGGTGCTGGTGGTGGTGATCCTCTGTTGTATTGACCTGGGCGGCGTTGACAAAGTGTGGGCCATTGCAGACCGAGGTGGACGCATCCAATTTTTCAAGTGAGCTTACATACTTGTGTCATAGGCCTATCATCTAACCTTAACGATTTCGTATTTCAGACACGTACGGGTCCTATTTGTGTAAGCCTCTTACAGGCTGGCACCAGAAGTGTACCCCTAAATAGGTTTTAGGCATCTTTCACAAGTTTTTATCACACGGCACTTAGAAATGAATGGAGTTCAGCGGAACCTTTCACAGGGACGTACGGGATATAACGGTGACAACTACACTGGTAATATATTAACACTCATTCATATAATGCTACATTGCCCATATAACATGGATGACTTAAGCCACCTACTAGAAAGAAGTTTTCCATCTTAAGGAGGTACACTCGGCAACAGTGAGGCTTGGCAAGTGACAGGATGGTGGTGAGATTGTTAACTACAGCAGTGTTAGAGTAGTCGGGGGAAATTAGGAAAAAGTTGAACTAATTCATATTGAAATAATACTTGGTAGTAAGAGTGAGAATACGTTTTTAAACAACATACCAAATATCCTGACCGATCTGAGGCGAGTTTTTGTCGTCGTCTTGAAAAAATGGCGGCCGTTCGCTGTTGTTGATGTTTTACTCATTAACTGTTGATTTTTGGGAGCATAAAATTGTGCACATTTTGGTATATTCATCTTTTGTGTACGATTAATACTTTCCGAGAAAAACAATCTTCACTACTGGCCACACCCTTCGCTATTTTTACATCATCTGGTACCGTTTTCCACACCAGCCATGAGGTCCAGTACGTGGAGCGTCTTTTTTTAATGTGGTATCCCTTGTAGACCTGTTCCAGGATTAGTGTTTTTATGACAGTTCATTTTCTTTGTAACTTGTTCAGTATTTGTAGTTACACATGAAGTTTGGGAGTCAAATTCAGTGCCGTTGTGATAATTAAGGTCAGTATCAAATGTTCATTCATTATTAGTCCCTAAAAAATAAAAAAAGCAACACAGACATTATATTCTTGTTGTTTTTTACCAATGGAACATTAAAGTGTCAAAATTAGAGGTGGAAACAAAATGTTTATTATATCAAAATGTATTAGTCCTACACAAAAGCTGAAGATACAAAATGTGCAGAATTTTACGCTCTTTTATTTTGTTATTAAGTGTCATCTCCCTAAAATCAACGGTTAATGAGTAAAACATGAAAAACCGCGAAAGGCCGCCATTTTTTCAAGATGGCGGCAAAAGCTTACCTCAGATCGCTCAGGCTGTTCAGTACGTTGTTTACGAACGTATTCCCAATAATTCTACCAAGGATCATTTCATTATGAAAAGTTCAACATTTGGCATAAAAATTGTCTAATTTCCCTGGACTAGAGTTTAACAGCTATATTTTGATATTCATTAAGATGTTGATATCTGATGTCCTTAATAATACGATATATATTTTATCGGTTGCTCTCTCTCTCTCTCTCTCTCTCTCTCACACACACACACATAAATATGCGTTTACTTTGACATTAAAAATACTTCCAAATACAGGTGCAATACATAGGCAGTTCACATTATGGATGTGGTTAACTGATAAACAATTAAACCAAAGGTAGCAGTTTTATAATATTTGGTGGTTACAAGTGTTCCCTGAAGAATGCAGTGATGGGTAGGGAAACACCGGGTAACACTGAAGTCCGTTTATTAAGGGATAGGAGAAATACAAGTGGTGACTAGCGTGTGCCATGCACGGCTCACACAGTCAGACTGAGACTGCCTTGCCATATGACAGCCTCGGGGCAATGTTGCCACATAACACGTGCAGTGTTGCCACGTAATTATATATATAAATGCTACTCGGCACAGTAGCTTATTTACAAGGTTGCTACTTGGCACGGTAGCATAGATACATAACCTACATCTCCCTCCCCCCCTCATTCTCATAGTCTTTGTCTTGAGCGGACTTCTTAGTCCTAAGTCGCTCCGAGCGTCGAGGTGCACTGTGGGGCGGATCCTCGTGAGGTGTAGGGGACTCGTCCTCGGTCAGGGGGCCAGCAGCAGGGGGTGGGACTGGCCGGAGGAAGCGGTGGTTCCTCCACCAGACACGGCCACTCGGCATCCTGACCTTGTAGTCTCACGACCGGCCGACGCCCATCACTATGCCCACCTTGTCCCAACGTGTCGTCGTCGGGTCCTGGACGCGGACAAGGGCACCAATCTCCAGCGGCTGAAGAGGGCGGGCACGGTAGCCATACCGAGCCTTGGCGTCCTGGGCACGTGTAGCGGCGCGGCGGTCGCAGCTCTCGGCTCTGGTCTGCCAGTCCTTCGCAAAGGCCTTGGCGTGTGTAGGAACGCAAGAGCGGAGAGGGTGACCATACAGGATCTGGGCAGGGGAGCGTCCTGTGTGGGTGGGAGTGGACGCGGGTTCTGGGCAGCTCTGTGTGGCAGCGCCAGGCGCGTCGCTCGTCGACTCACGCACCCTGCTGGCGGTGTAACGAGCAGCTGGGATCTGCTCGGGAAAGTCTCTGGGCACCACGCATAACTCCTTGAGGTGCTCCCACGACAACAAGGGTGTAGCGAGAGTAGGCTGCACGTCGATCCATCCATGACACGACCTGTCGCCGTAGGTGATCTCTGCTTGAAAGGAGCCCACAGCGTCTGGCATCTGGGAACCGTCCGCATTGTAGTACTGCAGCTGCGGCGGTGGTCCCAGGTCGCGTTTGGTGAGGCCCAGTTTCTGGAGGTGCTTCAACCCAATCACCGTAGTATCAGCGCCGGTGTCCGGTATCACCTCGATGTGACCCGACACATCACCGTGTGTGACGGCGACGCGGATGGTAGGGGAAGGGGTAGCCCTGGGGCGTGTGGTCGATTCCACCCTCCTGATGTGACTCGCTGCTGCTTGGGGCTGTGTAGGCCATCTGGAGGGGGCTGCGTGCGAACCACCCCGAGGGAAGTGCGCTGCTTTCCTCCTCGTCTCGGGCTTTTGGGCTTGGGTTGGCGGCAGCACTTGTCGTAGTGTCCATAGCGACCGCAGGCCTGACACTTGTGGCCTCGTGCAGGGCACCTGTCTGTGTTAGACCAGTGGCCCTTACGGTCACATCCACGACACAGTGCGTCGGCGGCCGGGCAAGTCTTGGGGCCATGCTGCTTTCCACAGCTGCCACAGGAAGCACTAGGCGGGGGCGTGGAAGAACATGTGGCAGCCTTCGCGTTGTTAGCCGCCTTCTTATCCTTCTTGTACTATGAGATAGCTCTCACAGCAGGTGGGGCCCGTAAGGCAGAGGTGGCGGACTTGGTGGCCTCGTATGACCGACATTCAGTCACTACCGCCTGGAGTGTGGAGGAAGCGTCCAGGGGGATGAGTCGCTGCACCAACTCTTCCTGCCTGACACCTGCCAAGATCCCGTGCTTGATCCAGGCTTCCTCACATTCCCGGCTGTGCGCCTTGCAGACGTCGATCTCCTCTGACAAACTCTTCAAGCGTACAAAAAAGTCGTCAAAGGATTCGTTCTCCGCCTGCTTGCAGCTGGTGAAGGCGCGGCGACGCAAAGCCTCGTTATTCCGACCCTTAACATGCTCCTGTAAAAGGTCGAGCACATCCGTCACTGAAGAGGTAGAATCGGGAGGCACTTGCAACGTGTGCTCCAAAACTCTCTGGGTCTCCAGCGACAAAAACACATCCACAGTTGGATGAGCTGTTTGTTTGGAGGCATGCTGTCAAGGTCCACCATCGTGGAGTAATCTGTCCAACGCCGCCTCCACTCACGAAAAAGCTGAAACGTGACATCTGGTGAGAGGGCGGGTGGGGGTTAAACAGATGCCTTGGGAGCTGTTTGTTTGGAGGCAAGAGTACCTGGAGGACGCTGGTGTGGTGGAGGAGGGAGGATATTGGCGCCTTGGTGCGCGAGTGAGGGAGGGTGGGTTAGCGCCAGGGTCGCCAATAGTGCATCAAAACGCGACTTTTCCTCCTCTCTTCGTGTCTCCTCCCTCTGAAGTTCCATCTCTCTGCGTCTCTCGTCCCGGTCGTCCATCCACCTCAGAATTGAGGCAATGTCCGTCACTGGAGGTGGGGGATGAGAGTCTGCGCCTGGTGGAGGAGAAGGTGGTGGGGAGTCGTGTCTCCCATCTTGACGTTGTCCCTTCTTACCGCCCATCTTTGTGTGTGCGTGGACTGCACTGTTTCGTATATAAAGTGGCGCCTCAACAGCTCGAACCACATATATATGACATAAACAGCGCAGAAATAACGCAGAGTCCACTGTTCTGTCCGTGAGTGAGTGCGTGCGTGCGTGCGTGTGTGTGTGTGTGTGTCTGAGACAGCAGATGCACTTCGTGGTGGCCTTAATGCCGGTGGCTAGAGACGCGGCGGGGGTGGGTGAGACCGTCAGTGTCTTCCCGGATGTCACACGAGAAGGGTGTACGCCTGCGTGCTCCGTGGGTACCGCAAAAAACAGGCCAATGCTCAACTCTCAGCTCTAGACACACACTAATACACTGACACTAACACTGCCACCGTCACTAAAAAGCACTGTGACGGCCCAACACTGCACATCGCGGCGAAACACAGCGCAACACAACACAACACAACACACTATGAGTCGACGCACATATCTCCGGCAGATATGTTACAAGTGTTCCCTGAAGAATGCAGTGATGGGTAGGGAAACACCGGGTAACACTGAAGTCCGTTTATTAAGGGATAGGAGAAATACAAGTGGTGACTAGCGTGTGCCATGCACGGCTCACACAGTCAGACTGAGACTGCCTTGCCATATGACAGCCTCGGGGCAATGTTGCCACATAACACGTGCAGTGTTGCCACGTAATTATATATATAAATGCTACTCGGCACAGTAGCTTATTTACAAGGTTGCTACTTGGCACAGTAGCATAGATACATAACCTACAATATTAAACTGTTAATTATTATTTAAGATACTGAGAAGTTTCCAAATGATCGTATATTGACTTAAATAATGAAGAAAGTTTGTGTGAAAATCTTGTGGCAGCTGTGGCTATAGTTGAGTTGCCAATTCATTAATATAATTTCTTCATTATTTAAGTCAATATACGATCATTTGGAAACTTCTCAGTATCTTAAATAATAATTAATAGTTTGATATTATAAAAATGCTACCTTTGGTTTTGTTTTATCCTGACAGTTATACAGCGGAAAATAGATCCACCAATCACACATCCCCTTTACATACAGCCTTACATCACCAAGTATTGCCAGGTAAACTTGCCACTACGCTAGCCAGTCCGTACATGACAAAAAAAAAATGTGACATTGACGCTGAACAAACGCTTGTACTTCCAAAATGCGATGCATAAATTTATGTTCAGCATTATAGAAATCTTCGTGTAGCAATGGAGTATTTCAGACGAGGGTTTGTTTGTCATGCAAAATATGTGTTTCTGCTTTGGTTGAGTGAATACTTGTGCAAATGTGTCTCCCTCTCATTCTTTCCTGAGGGGGACCGGTGGTAGAAGCGATACCGTTCTTGCCTCGCAAGCGAGATGTCACGGGTTCGATTCCCGGGCCGGTGGAAGTCATTTGGACTTACTTCCTAGCCCCCATTAGTCCCTGTTCACCTAGCAGTAAAGTAGGTACCTGCTGTAAGTCGAAAGTTGCGAATTCGTATTCAGGGACAAGCTGTTGGAGCTTCCAATAATTGGATGACATAAACCACTGACTCTTCAGGCTTCTACGCCCTTAAATCGTGAGACATAAAGGCAAGCATGAACTCAGCATGCTTCCCTGTTGGGCGCTGTAAACGCTTCTGCGCTTCACCTTACACAAGGATATAGGGGGTTGCCCAATAAAAAAAAAAAAATCTTTCCTGACACTTATTTTTATGTAATTATCTATTTCAATAAGCATTACCTGCAGAGTATATATTTTATGTTCTTACTATATTATATTTATATATTATAAGTGTAGTCTATGCATATTATAAACACATATTTCTTTGCTTCACAGGTGTTCAACTAGGCGCAATTCTTTTCATTTTTTCACGCCATGCGCTTTGTTTTAGGTAATCCAATATACTACTGTATATAGAATTATTTTTATTTTTATATCACAGTTTTTTATTGCCTTACATGCCCTCAACTCTTCAATATTAATCAAAACATTCTCCATAAACGGCCATGATCCTCGTATTTTCAATGAGAGAACTCTCTGATTGGCTGTTAGCTATTTGGGCCGCTTGGGCGCTGTGCAAGGCTAACGCCTGATCGAGGTGTTAGCTTTTCCCTCTGAGTGTGTCATGCGCACAAGTCAAAAGCAGCGTCTGTGCATACAGAATAGCTAACACGTTAGGTAATCCGTGCATCGAAAACGACTTACAATAAACGACGTATCTCTGCTTTGTATGAACCCAAGTACTTTACACCAAAATCTTTCTCACAGTAGGATTTCTCTACATCAACGTTGTTCATCTGATGTCTGCTTTCTCTGTTTACATCTCCAAGACTAAGTACTTTACATTTGTCTACATTAAATTTCATCTGCCATTTTTCATACCATGCATTTTTTTTTTAGATCTTCCTGTGGTTTTGCGGAGTCTTCGTCTTATTTAATTACACGCCCTATTTTAGTGTCATTAGCAAATTTACTTAAGTTGCTGTCTACGCCTATATCTATGCCATGGGCCTCCATTTTACGTATTAGTCTTTCATGGGGGACCCTGTCAAAGACTTTGCTAAATTCGAGGTAAACCACATCGTAACCATGCCCGTCGTCCACTGATTCGAAAACAGTTGGAAAGAATGTTAATAGACTTGTCAGACATGAACGCCTATTTGTTAAGCCATGTTGGGAATCGTTGATCAATTTGTGTTTCTCCAGGTGATTTTGAATAGAGTTTGAAAATATTGCTTCCAGTTATGTGCCTACACCTGATGTTAAACTGATTGGACGGTAGTTAGAGGATAGTGATCTATCTCCCTTCTTGAAAATCGGTATTACATTCGGTATCCTCCAGGATTCTGGTACTACATTCGTTTTTAATGCATGTTAAACAGGTTTGTTAAGGGCTTACTATGCTCTTCCATACATTCCTTTAATATTCTGGCAAATATCTGTTTGTTTACTAACATCGTTACTAGTCATTACGATCTCACTTAATCTATTTCCTTCACTATCTCTGTGTTGTGGGATTCTCCGTCTTGAACAGATGGAGCTCAACTGAGGCATGGCAGGAAAACGTCCATATGGAAGCTTGACTTTTTGTTCACTAGATGCAAGTACATTCTGTCTCGTGACAAAAATAATGATCATGTGAAAGAGGCCTTAATCAGGCGTACTAGGTCTGTCTGACCATGTCAGGTTGAGATCAAACCTCAAATTAAATCTAGTTGTTATCAAGGTCATGTTCAGGTGGCGTGTCAACCTGGGAGCGTCCCTGGAGAGTTGCCCAGTAGTGATATTTGTATTTCCTTTATAACTTTTGACTAAATTTTAAGTTAACATGTGTTTATAATGTTGCTAGTTATATTACATTAATATTCTCATCATGTTTCTTCAATTCCTACACTTTTGATTTTGCTCATGTAAACCTGGTGTTACATTGTGGGAGTAGTTACCTTCCTCGCCCAAGCTCTCCTTACTCGCTCTCCTGTCTCTGGGTTGGCCACCCCTGTCCTTTCCCCAACTGATCCTGTGGTCCTCCGACTGCACGATGATGGATTATATCTTCCACGAGTAGGTAAGATGGTTCCTCCGGTGTTTAGGAGGTTTTACCACATATTAGGTAGGAGTGTTTTTATTTGTTTCCTGTATTTTCATGTTGTTCTTGTTCTTAATTGTAAATATAACCTTTGCCTGTCTGGACAATAATACATCGGGTTTTCAATTAACTAGTACAGGAGAAGGAATATAACAGTGAATGTAGAAAACTTATTGTTGTATTTGGCGAATTTTGGTCAGTTATAAAGGCCCCCCAAAGGCCACCCAAATCCCCAAAGAACTGGCTTCTCACTCTTTTCTTATAAGGGTGTGTAACTTTTATTTTCCTTTCTTCATTCTGGTAATTACTGGTGTATAGAGCACATTACCCACCATTCTGTAGACATCACTTTTTAGAGGGTGAAGTTTTCAATATTAGTAACGAGGAGTGAGGGACACCATGTGCTGTGCAAAATGATCCTTCACATTGATAATGGGCAAAAAATAAATAAATAAATTGAAGGAAGGGGATCATACAGTATACTGGCACAAATACATTTCATAGGAGTGAATGAAACATGTGGCACAAAACATATTTACTTTGTTTCAGCCTCGACACGAGCCCTTTTGAGCGCCACACTCTGATGTCCACTGTGGTCTTCGGCTATTACTTAATAGTCTCTTCCATCGGCTTCAACCAAACCACCTTCCAGAGATTAGCATCTGTGAGGACGCTTCAGACATCACAAAGGTAATAAAATCTATATTGAAAATTTACCCATCTTCCAGGAGACACATCAATCATGTTATAAAAACAAATGTTCTATTTACATTATGTAATTTTATAAGTAGCACTTAGATCTACCGTGACAAATATTTAGAATATTCATAAATACCACCATGGGTGCTGGCAGCACAGCAGTAACACACGTGCCTCTCACAGTTATGTCCTGGGTTTAATCCCCAGCACGGATCACAAGTGAGACGAGCTCCATTCACTGACAGCTAGGAAAACTTCTATAGCACAAAGGTACAGGGTGCATTTATCTGGTGGTTGAAAAGATGTCCAGGTCTTTAAACTGCTAAAGGACCATGCGAGCACTGGGGTCGAGGAGACTGCAGTGGGCACAGGGATACACGTGTCAATAGGTTACCTATAAATTGTGCTAACAATGACAATAAAGTGACATTAGTCAGGGAGTTAAGCCACAACAGAGAGAAGAATCAGATCTTGGCGAGGTTAAATCTTTACAAAGTGAACAGCAGAAGCATTAAAAATAAAATGAAAGAAATCAGAGCTCTGGTATGTATGGAAAAAATCGATATACTGTAATAGATTTAACTGAAACCTGGATTAACTTACCTGTCGAATATCAAATTAAATGATATGTATTATTTCATATGGATAGGAAGAACAGGAGGAGAGGCGGGGCAGCATGTCAGGGATAATTTGAAATGTGGCATTAAATAGGAAACTAAAACTGAATTGAATATAATAACAACTTGGAGATAATTAACCGATGGTAGAGAAAAATTAATCATAGGAGTAATATATAGACCTGCTAAACTTGATAGTGTTGATGGACGACTTATTTGGGATGAAATATGACAGGCATCCAGACATGATACCGCTAAGTCTGTATAGTAGGCGACTTTAACTCAAGTCAAATATATTGGACTGACTTTACAGGTAACTCCGCGTCATAGGATTTCCTTGAAACTGTCCAGGACTGTTTGTTAAGTCAAAATATAACTGAACTTTATCCGGGGAAAAATATATTATAGATCCAGTTGTGTCACGAAGAGAAAACTTCACCTATAATGACGACGTAGGGAGCAAACTGGCTAACAGTTTGTTATATAATATATAAAAAAAAACAAGGTGACGTTCAACCCCCAAAATTAACCAGAAGGATCAGGAAAGATATAAGAAACACAAAGAAAGATCATAAAAAGAAAAGGACCAAACAGCCAGCTTACCCGTGAGCTAACTGATAACGAGGGGGAAATGAACATTATTCTCAACTGATATGTTTCATCAGTTTTCACAACCAAAAACATAAACATGATACAGTCAGAAACACTAATAACTATCCCCCTCACTAACGTCAGGAGCCAGTGAAGGCCGATAATGACACATCACCAACCTTGATACTCCAAGTTCTAGTTTCAAAACTACCCAGCGACGCTTACACAGGGGTTTTGTCCGATCGTCAGGCCTTCACTTGCAATGGCTCCAGCTTCTAGGAACGTAGCAATTAATGCCCCTGACTGTACAGTACATTGACAGTAAGGCGTATTAAACATGGAAGTAAATCTACAAAAAACAATAGTTATAATTCCTAATCAAAGCGAGACGTGAGGTACACACGGCAGCCTAGACCGAGGAGAATATTTGACAACAACTTCATATAATTTTACTTATTACTTGGTCCGGCAACATTTAAGATTTACATGCTTTTTCACTTATTTATGCTCTCAGTGGTGCCGGCTCTATAATCTGGTTGGGCTTTGTCACTTTCTGACATATCTCACAAGTTTTCCAGTACTCAGATACATTTTCTTTATATTAGGCCAATAAAATTGAGTTAGAAGCCTGTCAGTTGTCTTCCTGACTCCCAAATGTCCAGACAAACAAGAATCATAGGATAAAGCAATAACATGTTCCCTATATTCCTTTGGAATAACAATCTGCTTCCTAACCTCCCAATGATCCGATGTTGGAGCATCAGCAGGCCTCCACTTCCTCATTAACACACCACTATTGCACACAAAATCCAATTGATACATCACTCTCACCCCCATTTCTCTCAGCTTCACTCCAACATTCCCTCAAACTCTCGTCTGTCACCTCACTAATTCCTCCTTGTCCACTACAAAATCTGGTGGTACATGAATTTTCGCTTCTACAGTACACTCCTTATTATTTTCCAACTCTACTGTATTATCTGTGGTCATAACATCCTCTTCACCAAATATATCACCTATTTCCAAATCATCATCAAACTCTTGTCTTCTCTTTGACATTGCCCTGGTCACAACACAAGCTGGGTACACAATTTCATTAAGCTGTATATCACCATCAGGTTTACACTTCTTTGAATCATCCAACACATCTACATTTTTCACAACATGGTTCACTTCTACAGTAGCCTCTTCATCAAATGGATTTTCACACATAATAAGCTCTGGGACCACCTTGTCGCCAGCCAAATCATTACCCAATAACATCTGTACTCCGGGTACGGGAAGTTCAACACTTATCCCAAATTTTACAATGCCACTCACAAATCCACCCTTAAGATTTACTTTATGTAATGGGACAGTCATCCCTGACCCCAATCCTCATAAATTCACTTCTTCACTAGAGTAAGACTCATTCATCTGTCCCCTCTAATACATTTTTAAATCACACTCTGATTGGCTCCAGTATCTCTCAATATTATAATTTTCTTCTCAGGACTCCCTTTAATCCCAACCTTCCCTTCAGTAATAAATGGCTCAAAATTCACAGTTAATGCCGCAGACTTTGGGCCACTCTGACACTGATATTTAACAAGGCCAATTTCTCCACATGCAAAACATTTCATTGGTGGTATCTCCCGTCTACTAATACAAGGGTTATAATTAGACTGAGGTCTTGGATGTTTATATTATCTTTGTCCTTGTGATCTATTCCCTACAGTATTTTGTGACACCTGGTTAGGTGTACCTCCCTTAAAATAATTTGTACTAGGCTGCTTAACATTTGAATAGTTCTGATACTTATGATTTCTGTCATAATTCTGGCTTCTATTATGCCTTACTTCACCTTGTTTATGTGACACCTCCTCCTTATACATTTTGTGTGCCACTGCTAACTGGTCAGCCAACCTAGCCGCATTCATCAAATTCTTCGCTCTATTCTTACTTATTTCATACTTACAGTAATCTCAGGGTGCACAAGACTTTTAAAATGTTCCAACAGGACTAACTGTCTTATGTCATCCACAGTCTTTACTTCCTCAGACTTACACCATCTATCAAATCTCATCCCACATTCTCTAGCCACTTCATGATGAGTTTGTTCACTAATTTTCTTAATGTCCCTAAACCTTCTCCTGTACACTTCTGGATCCATTTCCACCGTCTTCAACACTGCTTCTTTAACAGTCTCATAATCCACAGACTCTGACATACTCAGACACACATATGCCTCTATGGCCTTACCCTTAAATTTACTCTGCACCAATATTGCCCAGTCACTTTTGTCCCATTCTTTAATAGTTGCAACTTTTTCAAATTGAATAATGAACTCCTCAGCAACGACTACCTGTACTGTCGCGACGGAGTACACTTGTCTCGTGAGGGGGTAAAGACGTTGTCTGCATCCCTGGAGCGTGAAATTGTCACTCCGAAGGAGGGGTTTCGCCAGTAGAGAGGGGTCGGGGAAAATGGGAGTCAAAAAACAAGGAGGTCCTGGGAAGTAGTGAAACAGAAGTAGATAATGCTGAAAATATAGTTAGTCATAATAACAAACATCAAAGTAATAAATGTAAAACAGATAGAAACGGAAGAAATATATTGAGTGTTTATTATACTAATAGTAGAAGCTTGTGTAACAAAATGGACCAGCTCAGGGCCATTGTTAGTAAAGAGAACATAGATATAATTGCAATAACGGAAACATGGATAAATTCAAACAGCAAGCATTTTTAGCAGAATTTCATATTCCAGGATATAACCTATTTAAATTTGACAGAGTAGGAAGGAGAGGTGGCGGTGTAGCAGTGTATATCAGGGTGTCATTAAAAAGCTGCAATAAATCAAACATTAAAACAAATAGCGACAATGAAAGTATTTGGGTAGAGATTGGTGAGGGCAGTGAATCCGTAGTCATTGGTGTTATATATAGACCACCTAATTTGAGTAGGAACGATGGTAAATTGCTATGGGAGGAAATAAAGAAGGCATCTGATAGAAACAATGTATGTATTCTAGGCGATTTCAACTTTTCAGGCATAGATTGGAAAAATCAACTTAGCGATAATGAATCTGAAGATTTTCTAGAAGTAGTACAAGATAGTTTTTTATATCAATTCATAAACTCGCCCACTAGAGGAAATAATATCCTCGATTTAGTTCTCAGTAATAATGAAAATCTAGTAAAAGATGTTGGGATTGGAGACGAACTAGGAAACAGTGATCATAAAGCCATATATTTTAACATAATATGGGATGGCAGGAAGAAGGAAAATTCGGCCTTGATCCCGGATTTTAGGAAGGCTAATTACGGTAGCTTAAGGAGAGACCTAAGGGATGACCCTATGGTCAAAAGATTAATCCCCCCCACACCTCCGGAAACTGTCAACTTAGGACGGGATAACCCGAATTTAATTTAGCAGCTACTTATGAACAATTTATTGCGACAATCAATAATGCTCAAAATAAACACATCCCTAAAAGAAAATTCAGATCGATACGGAACCAACCAAAATGGATGAATAATAGACTCTTAGATCTTCTAGGGAAAAAGAAAGAGTATATAGAAAAGTTAAGAACTTACTTGGTTACTATCAGAACCTAACAAGACAGGTAAAAACAGAAATTAGGAAAGCAAAGAGAAATTATGAAATCAAGGTAGCAAACGAATCGAAAATAACCCCAAAGCTTTTTATCAACTGTATAAATCAAAGGTTAGAGATACAATAGGTCCCCTTAAAACTACGACAGGAGAAATGACTGATGATGAGTTAGAAATGTGTAGTACGTTAAATAGTCATTTTCGCCCGTATTCACAAATGAAAACCTAGCACAGTTTCCAGAAGTTCATAAGGTATATAACGACAGTATAGAAAATATTGATGAATATCAATATTACTAGTAACGATGTGCTTAAAGTAATTAACAAACTGAAGCCTCATAAATCGCCTGGTCCAGACGAGGTATATGCTAGAATATTAAAAGAATGTAGAGATGAGTTGAGTAATCCATTAGCAGTTTTATTTAATAAGTCATTAGAATCGGGCCTAGTGCCAGAAGCTTGGAAACTTGCAAATGTAGTTCCGATTTTCAAAAGGGTGATAAATCAATAGCATCAAATTACCGTCCCATTAGTCTCACGTCAATCATAGGCAAGTTGCTAGAGTCAATTATTGCTACAAAAATCAGAAGCCACCTTGAAACATTCAACTTAATTCATTCTTCTCAGCACGGGTTCACCAGGGACGTTCTTGTCTCACAAATTTGCTTAGCTTTTTTCTCAGAAGTATGAAGCGGTAGATAATGATAAGTCATATGATATAATTTATTTAGATTTCAGTAAAGCATCGATAGAGTCCCTCATGAGAGATTGATAAGGAAGGTAGAAGCACATGGAATAGGTGGATCAGTATTAAATGGATTAGGTCATGGTTAACTGGTAGGAAACAAAGAGTCAGCATAAATGGATTAAAGTCAGACTGGGGTGGTCAAAAGCGGAGTTCCCCAGGATCTGTATTAGGCCCTCTGCTGTTTGTTATATTCATTAATGATCTTGATTTAGGCATAACTAGTAGGATTAGTAAATTTGCAGATGATACCAAAATGGGGAGAGATAAATTCAGACAGTGACTTTGAACACCTTCAAAGAGATCTAGATACCTTACATGAGTGGTCAGTAGACTGGCAAATGAATTTTAATACTGATAAATGCAAGGTACTACAGATAGGGAAGACGAATACAAACGTTAAGTATAAACTAGGTAACACGGAAATAGAAAACTCAGTTTGTGAAAAGATCTAGGTGTATTTGTTAGCAACGACTTGAAACCTAGAAAACAATGTATTAGCGTTCGCAACAAGGCAAACAGGATTCTTGGGTTCATATCTCTAGGTCTGTGAGTAACAGAACTGCTGACGTTATCTTGAAACTTTACCTAGCATTAGTGAGGCCACACATGGATTATGCGGTTCAGTTCTGGTGTCCTTATTATAGAATGGACATAGATTCTTTGGAGAGAGTACAAAGAAGAATGACAAAATGATCCATAATATTAGAAACCTTCCATATGAAGAAAGACTGAAAAGCTTAGGCTTACATTCATTAGAGAGGCGTAGAGTTAGGGAGATATGATAGAGTGTACAAGTGGGTAAGTGGGATTAACAAGGGTAAAATGGAAGATGTTCTGAAGCTCAGTAATAACGAAATAACTAGAACAAATGGCTTTAAATTAGATAAATTCCGATTCAGAAAGGATATAGGCAAGCACTGGTTTGGTAATAGAGTTGTGGATATGTGGAATAGGCTACCGAGTGCTATAGTAGGATCGGGGACGCTAGGGAGCTTCAAGACGAAGTTGGATAGGCACATGGAAGTGCTGGGATGGGTGTGAAAGGGATCTGCCCTGTATGGGCCAGTCGGCCTCCTGCAGTATCCCACTTTCTTATGTTCTTATGTTCTTATGTAATCAGGATCTTATAAAGGAAAGTCAAGGACCATGGTTTTCTGAGGAATAACAAACAACTGTTCGAGATTGACATGTCTTTACTATAAAAATATAACACA